CAACATTACACGTCATGGTATTCGGTGTTTAGGCATACGTAACACGGGGCACAACAATCTTTTGAGGACTAACAACAAATAAATATACTTTCTCAAAAACAAAAATCAAATTCATGACATAATATTAAATATTTATCAACATTTTAGGTGATTTGTATACCCTAGAAGAGGTCAATCAAACAAGCAACATATATATTTCAAAAGTAAATCTAATTTATATTTGCAAAATGAGTTGATATATGAACTAAATAAATTGATTTATTAGAATAATAATAACTTAAATAGTTGAGATCATGAGTCAGTTGAAGCTAGACCATTATGGAAAACCTGGAAGCACTGGACGGCCGTTTCGTCCTAGTATGGGATTCTTCAGCAGTGCGCATCCACGATCCCGCACACCACTGGATTCGAACCTAGGACCTACTGGTTTCGCGCGCGAGCACTTAACCATTAGACCACTGAGCTGACCGACATCCAACGGTGTTATTGTCTAACTTCAACTAATCCACAAAATTGAGCCACACATAGATGAGTGACATAGATGAATGAATAATATTCTTTTACAATAAATCCTTATCATAATCTATCTACCATTATAAATTGAAATGGTTAGTCAAAAATGTTAAACAAATTTAATAGTTGAATTCACGAGTCAATTAAAGCTCAGCAGTGCGCATCCACGATCCCGCCCGCGGAATCCGAAACCAGGATCTATCGTTCTCATTCCAGCGTTCGTGTGTGAGACCGATAGGTCCTGGGTTCGAGTCCCGCGGGCGGGATCGTGGATGTGCACTGCTGAAGAGTCCCATAGTAGGATAAAATGGCCGTCCAGTGCTTCTAGGTTTTCCATGGTGATCTAGCTTCAATTGACTCATGAAATCAACTATTAAATTACTAAAATCTCCACAAAACCCCGTTTTGATAAAATTTAATAAAAACAAATCTCTACAAAGCTCAAAGTTTCTTGATTCGATGCTTAATAGAGTTGTGTTAAGATACTATTGAAGAGTTTCATATTGAGAAGAAATAACAATATAATACATGCTACTTTTCAATAATAAGCCTAATTAGTGAGTCAATATTTGATATAAAACTATAAATTCAATAATTTCTATATCTTCTGTACCAAAATGACTAACATGTTATATATACCTGAATTTAGATTAAATAAAACGACATAATTAGTAATTAGTAGTAACGTAGGATGAGAAGACTAATAAACGATTATATAGAGTGGTGTTGTACAATTATCAATATAAATGCTATCAAGTTAATATACAATACATAAACAGTTAAGATTAAAGTAATTACATTAATTAAAGATTAGATGTTGATAAAAATGAGTTTATTAGCAGTTTTATTCAATTTCGATTAAAATATAAATAGATTCAATTGTACATCATTTTACTAGTGATTCAAATATTTCTAAACACCTATCATAATAAGTGTACATATGATATGCTTGAATGCTATTACGAGTTCTTCTTACTTGGTAAACAGAACTAAAGACCAAGATACAGTGACATGATAGGTTATTGATCCAATCGACATAATACCCGTGTTCTTATGTCCCTGAACTTATGGGACTGGAGGCTATAAATGAGGATAAGGGCTTTAAACTGGTCTTCAGACAAATACTTCAACCGGAAGTGTTCGCATTCACGGTTGACAATGCCCAAATGCGTAAGAAAATCATCGTCTTTGTTCATAATTAGCTTCAAACATCGATAACGAGCATTAAACAATGATGAGTTGTCGCCGAAATGTTAGCTCAATGTCTTGACTGTGTCTGGGAATGAGCGATCACATAGGTTCAAAGGCAGTGACACACTCACTATTGTCTTCAATGAGTTACTATCTCACAACAGACCCACTTGAACACCACTGGTTACTGCTTCTCCCTAGAACTTCAGGTTATACCTTTTGAAACCAGTCACTAGTGAGTATATATTGATTAGTATTAGAATAATAAAAGATTCACTTACCCAACCAACTGGAAATAAATAGGGTATTCTCATTGATAATTGATTTGTTTCTTCAATTGGTTTTGTATTATTTTTATTATCAGAGAAATTCTCATCATTTTTTAATTGTTCAATAGAATTATATATTAGAAATGGATTACATTTAGTTAATTGTAAATGATTATTCCATAAATTATTATTATGTATTTGATTCAATGATGTAAAATAAGAATAAAATTGTATTGGATTCATTTCATTCGTTTGTTCATGTTCTTTTAATTGTATAAATGATTTTGTGATAGACATTTTAATTGAATATTCGTTTGTTTTTAAAAGTGAAAACCTCCTATTGTTTTTAAATATAAAGAATAAAAAATACAAGGATAATTAAAGTTCTACTGTTGTTCTAATGTAGTTCTAATGCGCATCCACGATCTCACTCACGGGATTTGATCTCGTGAACGAATGCTTAAACTCTAGACCATTAAACAAGCATCTGATTGTGTTAATGTCTAACTTCAACCAACACCGAACGAGACCGAAGTTTTTGGGGTCCGAATCTTGTGAGCGGGATCGTGGATACGTACTGCTAAAGATTCCTGTACTAGGATGAAAAGATTGTCCAGTGCTTCCAGGTTTTCCATGGTGGTCTAGTTTTCATTGACTTATAAATTCAACTATTAAATTACTACGCTCTCCACAAAACTCAATATTTGTGAAGTAATCAATATAAAATACTGGATTCAGATTAGGTGTGATTTAGTACTTACTAATTATAAATCAATCAGTTGATTGATACAATTTAAGATAATCAGTTACCTGACATATAGTTCTTAAGAAAAATTAATTAATGTATAAGTACGTATTATGTTACGTAATATTACAGAAATATTTAAAAAATAAATCAGCTTATGTAAAGTAAAATGTAGAGAACAAATCATAACTGAACAAAAAGATTGTTAGATATTGTATATTTAAAATTAACGACATAATGTTATTTGTTAAGCTTTGTATTTCCATATTTTTATTGTTATTCTGACCACTCTGAGCAACAATGCAAGCATGTTCGGGATGCGATTCTCCCACTCAAAATGCAAAATGTTACTTCAGGATTGGGTTACATCGACACCAGAACTAATGATAGGGAGTGAAGTAGTTGAAGGTGTTGACCGCTTCAGTTATCTTACGAGTCTCATCAGCCATTGTGGTCTAGCGTGTGACGAAATCTCAGCACGGATACACAAGGCTAGACTAGATTTTGCCAAATTGCATCATTTATGGCGTAGGCAAGATATCCGTCTATCAAACAAAGGACAGATTTACTGCGCACCAGTTCATTCCGTTCTACTTTACGAGTGAAATATGGCCACGAAGAGTAGAGGATATTCGTAGGTCACTAGTATTCGATCATAAGTGTCTTCGAAGCATTGCTTGCATATCCTGTAACCACCGAGTAAGTAATGCAGTTGTTAGAAATCGGGTACTAGTTAAGGATGGCAAATCAATTCACGAAGTAGTGAAACTTGATCACTTGAGATGACTGGGACATGCGTTACATATGCCCAACCAACGACTTTCCCGACCTGCAAAGTTTTATGGTGTAGGAGTAGGTTGGAAGAAACGTAGGGGCGGCCGGAACAAAACGTGGCGCAAATCCATGAAGTCACTGACTGACAAGTGAAATGAGCCATGTTGGTAGGTGTAGACTACCTGGTTGTGATTCGTGAGACGATAGCAATCGATGGTTAGAGATCTTGAATGACATGGCTCAACATCATTTACAATGGTGTGTGCAGGTGCATCCACTCTTTGTGTTCTTCCAAATTCTAATCTTCTGAATTATTCATGTCTCTTCTTTTTCTCTTCGTAAATTTATTTCACTGTATTATACTCCATGAATAACATCTTCAAATCCTAATATTTCCGATTACTACTTATACTCTTACTACCTCTACCACTACGGGATTTGAATCGACAATTGTATTTAAGTGCTAATATGGTATGGCAACTCGTAGTAATTTACGTACGTACGAAGTTCTACGTTGTTACTGACTGACTGACTTATTTTTAATGTTAAGGACTGAAAATGATCACTTCCATAATATTTCTACCTGTTGTACTATATGAACTCAATAATTCAGTGGATAATGTGTTGAAACTTGAAGAGATTAATACCGAGTTCGAATCATAGTCTAATCATCAACATTGAAATCTTAACTAATCCTAGAATGGATAAAAAGCGAGTTTTCATTTCAGCTGCTAGCCATTATCCAAAATATTCTTTTTACTACATAATTGACGCTTTATAAATAACTTAGAACTTGACATCAATTCACATCAACCCAAACTAACCATCTTTTACTTTATGAATCAAAATAATTAAATTATATAAAAGTTGAATAACTCCGACTGGAGTCCCTTTGGGGGCTACTGCCGGTCCCAAGCCCGGGTAAAGGAGGAGGGTTGGGCATGGGGTTACCGAACCCATCCCACAGAAAACTAACTGGCTAAAAAAACGCTAACCAGAAAAAATTATTCAAAAAGTAAAAGTTGAGTATTTCACTTCTTTCCTTCAATCATAGAATAAAACTAACATACAAACCTAAATACAGAATGCTACATCTACCTACATGATTATCTAGACTAATTTCATATATTATGATAGTCATCCTTAAGTCCTTATTCTATTTATTTACCTACTATACATTGAGTTTCAACTGTAATCTAAATATAATTTTGAAGGAAATAAAATATTTTTTTATGATTTACAAAAACTACAATTTCATATGAAACCATAAATCCATTCTCTATGTACAGTCTAATGATAACTCACTTGGTTACCTATTGCTTAAATGATAACAGATTTCATAAAATATAAGTATAATCTATCATTATTATTATTATACTCTGATAAACTTTTAAATTGTTCATGCGTAGATAATTTGATTTATAACTTAATCTATAATCTAATCACATTTAATTCAGTATGAATAATGTGAACATCTTTACATAATTAGTCCCTGCTTTTGTAAAATTTTAAGTTAGAAGAAAAAAATTATTATTATCATTAGTAGTAGTAGTAGTAGTAGTAGTAGTAGTAGTAGTAGTAGTAGTAGTAGTAGTAGTAGTAGTAGTAGTAGTAGTAGTAGTAGTAGTAGTAGTAGTAGTAGTAGTAGTAGTAGTAGTAGTAGTAGTAGTAGTAGTAGTAGTAGTAGTAGTAGTAGTAGTAGTAGTAGTAGTAGTAGTAGTAGTAGTAGTAGTAGTAGTAGTAGTAGTAGTAGTAGTAGTAGTAGTAGTAGTAGTAGTAGTAGTAGTAGTAGTAGTAGTAGTAGTAGTAGTAGTAGTAGTAGTAGTAGTAGTAGTAGTAGTAGTAGTAGTAGTAGTAGTAGTAGTAGTAGTAGTAGTAGTAGTAGTAGTAGTAGTAGTAGTAGTAGTAGTAGTAGTAGTAGTAGTAGTAGTAGTAGTAGTAGTAGTAGTAGTAGTAGTAGTAGTAGTAGTAGTAGTAGTAGTAGTAGTAGTAGTAGTAGTAGTAGTAGTAGTAGTAGTAGTAGTAGTAGTAGTAGTAGTAGTAGTAGTAGTAGTAGTAGTAGTAGTAGTAGTAGTAGTAGTAGTAGTAGTAGTAGTAGTAGTAGTAGTAGTAGTAGTAGTAGTAGTAGTAGTAGTAGTAGTAGTAGTAGTAGTAGTAGTAGTAGTAGTAGTAGTAGTAGTAGTAGTAGTAGTAGTGATACTATACGGCTTTGCATTGCTCACATGATTTTAAAAACCAGTTAAGATATTCTGAATACAATAGAATCGAATAGTACTGACTGTTAGATGCGTTACTACTGTGTTTGTACATAACTATTCTATCTTAAATTCAGTATAATATATTCATGAATATGGACTGTGTTCTCGGTCTTCAGTTCAGATCCAGTCATGAATATGAGAGTATTTATTGGTTAATTCTAGAAATTCACTCCGTCATATATCAAGCTCGCTACCACTATTATTGTGAATAAAAACATATTTTCACACGAATCACTCTTTGTTCTCATTCTCTTCTCTTGGATCTTCTTAACCTTCTTACGCCAGGCACTTTCGATTCGTAACACATACTACTTATATCTGTCAATATCAACTACACACACCATACTACCACTTCAAAACATATTACTAACATAATATATTACCCCAATTGACAAAAAAGAAGGCCATTATGATTAGGAGAAACAAGATATTTGAATATACGTAAAACGAAGAAACATGTAACTTGTAGACTGGGTATCTTGTGTAGATCAAAGTATCTTACATCGGATTGTGACATGATGTAACCACGAAATTTAACCAAACCCTTTCAACTAGTTATGTCTTTTCATTAAATCATTCATTATGGAAAGTTATTTTGCACTGAAGTACATTTTTTAAACGATCAGTTTTAGAAATACGATTCCAATAATAATCATTTAAACATTTTAGGTAGTTGAATATATATACCAGAAGGGGTTTTGTGGAGATTGTAGTAATTTCAACAGTTCGGATCATGAGTCAATTGAAGCTAGACCACTATGGAAAACCTGGTGGAGGAGTCCCACAACAAACGGCCGTTCAATGCTTCCAGGTTTTCCATGGTGGTCTAGCTTCGATTGACTCATGATTTCAACTGTTGAAATATATATATATATCAAATGTTTGGACGTAATATCAATTATAATTAATGTTAACGTACAGTTCTAAAATGGTGATTATATCATCTATAAATTCGACTTCACTACCGACAAAATAACATATTTCTATGAAGTTGTACAAAATTTATATGTAATACCACTATTCAAAGACTGTATACACACTTTCATTGAAGTTATCACCTAACTCAATATATGTCACAAGAATTATTGAAATGAAACACCGTCTAGTTTACTTATTTGTCTACATAAGATCAAAGCAACTATTTGTATAACTTACAATTTAAAAGAAGAATTTTCGAAGCAAAAGTTACATACATGAATCTGTGTAAAAATCATCTACATAGAAACACATTCACTTAAAATATTCTAGAAAAGAAAAAGGTACTTACCAGTGAATTAACAAGAATAATGTTTTGTTTGATTTTAATTTATAGAACATAAAGTTAATACCGTTTGAATTGTGACAAATTCACTTGAAGAAGGGGTAATGAATTTATTGTAGAATAAATAATAAGAAACTCTAATAAATGATCGATTACACAATTTCATTAATATTAAAAAAAACAGATAGATCTCTGTCTTTTTCTTTCCCATTCAAGTTTATAACTATAATTAACTAATAATATACATTGTCTTCCATCTATACAAATGATTAACACTTGTTTATCCTATCTAAACTGAATGTTGATAGGGAGTAAGGGAAGAAAAATTCATTATTTCTAATACTTGAATTATATTGCTAGAATTATTCGTTTAGTTTTCTATCCTTGCGGTAAAATTTCAATTTTCTTAACCAATCAGAGGAAGGGAAAATTATTGTTGTTTATTTGATCAGACATGAAGATACATGTTATTGGTCCTTACTATTATTGTAGATAGGACCTTATATTTAGATCGATCTTTGGCCTAATTCAATGGTTTCGATGTACTACACACACGTAAGTGAAATGCATCAAACATCATTTATTTAAAAGAAAAATTGTATTGAAGGCTTAGGCCTATTGATGTACAGTAGGTATTCTAATATTTTTCGTTATAAACCACATCAATTAACATTATACATCAAAATATGTATTTTGCCCAAACTATGGTGATTAAAAGAGTTATGATTCCTCACTTTTGTTCTACTAGTAAATTTGTTCATGAAAGAACAAAATAGCTTGTATGATTAGCAAAAGATAGTTAACCATCCCAATAGTATACAACCGTTTATAGTAATGATCAGCTGGATGAATTACACAGTATCTAAGGTTCATGATATTACCCCCACGTCCATGTTTGATTGTCTGAATGGTTTCACTTTCACGTAGCTATGTAACTTATACAATTAAGTGCATGTCTTCTCTTTGTAAATAGATTTGAAATAGATAGAACCCTCAGTAAGATTTCTGTAGTGTAATCTCACATACAACTAGACAACATTATGTCTCGTTGAGATGATATCAACTGGAAAATTATTGAGAATATGGAGATACTTATTACTAGACTTTTTTCAGTTTGAAATCTTTTACGAATGCATGACATATCCTCATCAATTGGTCTAAGAGGATGTGAAGATGAGGAGTTGAGATAACAGATATTCTAGTGAAAGTACATATGGTAATGGAAAACGAATTGTTGATGGGTTAAATGTTAGTGAGTGAACTATTCATCCATATTTGAACAGTTGACTGCATTTTTTCTGGATTATATATGAATATACATGGACTTATATTCATTCGACCTTTCTTTGTACAGTCTTCTACTAACTCCGAGTATTTTTACTCTTAGACAGTTGTTAGAAACTGTATATTTTTAATGAGAACAAAATACAGTGAATATAAACTATCCTATCAGAATCATGACCTAAAATCTACATTAAAATTTAAATAGTTGAAATCATGAGTAAATTGAAGCTAGACCATTACGGAAAACCTGGAAGCACTGGATGACCGTCTAGTTCTGGTGTGGGACTCTTCTGTGGTAGTGAGCATCAACGACCACGCTTTGTGAGATTCCAACCCAGCATCTATCGGTCTCTCACGCGAGCGCTAAACCATTAGACAACTGAGCTGACCGACATCCAACGGTGTTAATGTTTAACTTCAACTAATCCACAAAATTCAGTGACACATCCACTATTGTCATCAGTAAGTTACTATCTCACAACAAACCTGGTTGAATTCCACTGTTCACTGGTTCTCACTAGAACTCCAGGATATACATATTGAAGCCATTTGATGCGCACTTCTGAGGAGTCCCACAATAGGAAAAAACGGCTGTCCAATGCTTCCAGGTTTTCCATGATGGTCTAGCTTCAATTGGCTCATGATTTCAACTATTAAACATAATCACTTATTATTTAAATTATATGTTAATGTGTGCTATTACTCAGGTAAATCTTCATCAGGAAGTATTTAAGGATATCAATACTGTATGTTACTAGTTTGGTTAATTCAGAAAATATTAAATACCAGAAAACAGTTTGTAATTTAACACAAGATATTCACGAACGATCAATGTTAAAGGTTGAACTGATAAATTACTAGAAAGTATGAATAATAGAAAATCCTCATAGACAAAAACTCAGTAACTGAAAAGAGGGTCATACTTGTAACTAAGTAACTTGACTCTATCATTAGACTAATGTAATACAAATCCATTTAAACATTTTCACATATACATTGCATTAGTTTTTCGGATAAGTGAACATTAATTTAGGCTTTTTAAAAAAAACCAACTTTAAATGACAAATTCATTCTCTCAAATGTATCAAAACTTAACTACTGCTCTTTAATATTCTGTCATGTTTCAAACGATAACCAATAGTAAAAGTGCTCAACAATGTTACATAACAGAATAATTCACTTTGAAATAGTAGAGAAGATTTGTAGCTTAGGTAGATGATTTTGATAGAGTTTTATTCTCTGAGCTGGATGGTTTGGTCAAAATCATACACCTGAACTACAAATCTTCTCCACCATCTCAAAATCATATGAGTCTAATACGCTTCTCGTTGTTCAAAAATGGGAGAATTTCGCTAAAAAGGCAGGCTTCCATTTGAGAACAATTATATTTTCCACGACTAAATCATCCAGCTCAGAGAACAAAACTTCATCATAATTCACTTTACTAACAGTACTATATATTAAAACAGTTTTGTATTAGATTTTTCTTACTTACTTACGTACTTACTTACTTACTTACTTACTTACTTACTTACTTACTTACTTACTTACTTACTTACTTACTTACTTACTTACTTACTTACTTACTTACTTACTTACTTACTTACTTACTTACTTACTTACTTACTTACTTACTTACTTACTTACTTACTTACTTACTTACTTACTTACTTACTTACTTACTTACTTACTTACTTACTTACTTACTTACTTACTTACTTACTTACTTACTTACTTACTTACTTACTTACTTACTTACTTACTTACTTACTTACTTACTTACTTACTTACTTACTTACTTACTTACTTACTTACTTACTTACTTACTTACTTACTTACTTACTTACTTACTTACTTACTTACTTACTTACTTACTTACTTACTTACTTACTTACTTACTTACTTACTTACTTACTTACTTACTTACTTACTTACTTACTTACTTACTTACTTACTTACTTACTTACTTACTTACTTACTTACTTACTTACTTACTTACTTACTTACTTACTTACTTACTTACTTACTTACTTACTTACTTACTTACTTACTTACTTACTTACTTACTTACTTACTTACTTACTTACTTACTTACTTACTTACTTACTTACTTACTTACTTACTTACTTACTATTAACATACTTGTAATGAAAATTGACATTAATGTATAAACATTTCAATTGCTTAATACATTTATTTATATATATGACTTTATTATACATAAATATTGCGTGTTCAAGAACATGGAAAACACAAATAAATTGAAACAGTGTATTTATCCCAAGTGAATCGATATGGAATTTAAATAACCAGTATTCAATTTTATTTTTCAATAGGGAATGAAGAACTAGGTTATTTGAATTATACATACCTCTATACCTCTATACCTATATATATATATGTATCATTAGAATTCTTATTAGCATTTCATTATTTATCCAGTTCACTAGTGTATGAATAGTTGATCAACCTCTAATTCTATTAGTCTATTTTAATTCTTTTAATTTGTAGAATGTTTTTTTCTTCTTTACTACTTAACACTTTTTATGTTTCCCTCTGTTTTTTTTTTTATAATTTTTTTATTATTTATGGATAGTTAGTTATATTGCGCAAAATGAACTTACTCAACTTATAAAGTATGTCAATACTCATCATCATATATGTAAATACAATACAATTATTCTAATGGTTCAATTCAATAAGATATATAATCTAATTAATTTTGTTTTTCACAGATATTTTTTTATGTTTAAATAAGTAGTATGTTGATATTAGTCTATTTAGTTGTTTTAATAATGAATACATATAGTAGTGTGTATATATATATGGATGGAGAATGATGGTGAGCGACCTATGCTCCTTCACGAGGAGTAACAGGCGTAAGTAAGTAAGTAAGTACATACATATATAAAGTGAATCTATGATTATATTTAATTCCCCATATATATGTATATACGTACATATAAAAACAAAAAGTTAGGAGTACAAGTGGGATTAGATAACAATTACTTATATATATACATTATACCTGATGAAGATAAACTTGTAGTGATGACCAGACGAATTCAGTTATATATATATATATCAAGCTAAATTAATATGATACTAATTAATATGGGAAAATTGTATGTATGTATGTGTTTGTTATCATCTATGTGAATAGATGAGTTAAGAAAATGTTCGTGCAATAAATACAATACTTATTACTAGACTAATATTGTAAACTTTAATTCATCATTTTATGTATGCATGTGAGTGTAAGAGGAAAGGAGAGAAAGAGAGAGAGAAAGGGAGGGAGAGGGAGATTGAGAGGAAGAAAGACAGGGAATATCTGCAAAAAGGAATAAAAGACATGTTTCATTTAATCTTATTTTAAGGTCACGATTAATTCTTCATTTTTTTTCTTCTTCAAGAATTTATTATCTACTACTATTGAATAACTTAATCTATCCATGATAAAATAATTAAATATACAAGGCTAGAAACGGATATAATATGAAAGTAAATGGAAAAGAAAAAAAAATGAGACGAAAATTTTTAGTTTCTTAAAATAATTGTACAATTGTATTATGTAACTGTTTGAGCACAACTATATATGAATCTCATGTGACAAGTAGATATTGTGTAGATGGTTGACAATAGGCCTTTGGTTATTTGACCTGATTAAGATGAACAAATCGACATTATTATTAAATATATATATTATACTTTTCATATTGGGGAATTTTTTAAAAGGCTATATAAGAGGTAAAGGTGTTAAATGGTATATATT